CTTCAACTCCCAGAATTCCCCAGCCAGCATGCTGGCTGGGGAATTCTGGAAGTTGAAGTCTACACATCTTAAAGTTGTCAAGGTTGAGAAACTCTGCTCTGTAGAGTTGAAGGAAAAGGAGCCTACAGTAAGTGATCACTGTCAAGGTAGAAGCTAATACTTTAAACAGTGTGAGGCAAAATCCTCAAAAATTAGCATGTAGTTTACAAAAGAGGCCGCTCTGGAGCCCCAAAAGGTGAGTTCATCCTCTGTGTCACCTGGAGTAGAAAATAATCATGACCATTACTTAATTGCTGCAACATAAATTCTGTACTTAAGGAGAGCTACCTAAACTTAAGAGCTGATAAACCTATTGAACACTATGCTGAAATTTTATGAAACCCAATACCAATAGCTGGGCTAAAAATTTTGGTCATAATGTACAGTTGGAACAATGGGAAAATATGTGGCAGAAAGGTTTAAAATTTACATTGTGTTATAGCTTAAAAGAGAACTTTTATAAAATGATGTATTGTTGGTATTTGTTGCCACAAAAATTATCTAAAATGTATAAAGGTACGTTGAATGTATGTTGGAAATGTGAACAGCACGAAGGGACATTTTATCATCTTTGGTGGATTTCTAAAAATGCAAAAAAAATTTGGAATGAGATATTTGTATACAGAAGATTCTAAAGATTAAAATACAATCAAAACCAGAGACTTTTCTTTTAGGTTTGATGGACAAACAGTTGGAAAAAAACTGGAACTCGGTTCTTATATATGACAACAGCAGCAAGACTTTTATATACACAGAGGTGGAAGGACAAGACATTACCTACGGTGGAAGAATGGATGGTGAAGCTGATGGAGTTAGCTGAGATGGCAAAATTGACAGCTTTGATTTAAGACATTGTGTAATTTTAATAATACTTGGAAACCTTTTTTGGACTTTTTTATGAGATATGGAAAAAATGAAATTTTGTTGAATGGATTTGATGATTAAAAATAATATGGATTAATAGAAATAATGGAAGTTATGTTTTAAACTTAGAGTAAGAGTTGGATGTATATTGTTACTTATATCTGTCGTGAGGAGGGTTGGAAGTCAATTTTTTTTCTTTCTGATTCTTTTCTTCTCTTTTTTGTCTTTCACACTAATTTTTCATACTTATTTCTGTAATTCTCTTTCTATAGTCTTCTCTTAATACTAGTTTGTTA